AGGGGAAGAAAATGTGTAACAAAAGAGAAAAAAAAGTAAAAAAACCCCACTCTGACAACAAACAAACAATGGCTTGGATCAGACACTACACCTTAGTCTTTAAACTGACATCATTACTCTTTCGTACTTTGAAAAAGTCTTTGATTTCCCCAATGCATCATGTCTCTTGATTTCCTGACTCCTATTATCATGGGTGTTCACTGCAGATCCAAGCAAAATTAGACAGCTGATATATTAAAAAAGAAAAGAATCCTCTGTTCTCTGAGATCATGTATGTAGGCAATTGATTCTGCCTTTAGTCTCTCTGGAATCTTGGCCCTGAATTTCAGCTTTGTCTTCTAGATTCACTGGGATTGGCAACTCTGCTCTTTTAGGTTTTGGAGGCCCCATTCTCTTAGTCCAGCTGAAAGGCAAACCCACTCCCTAGGCCTAGCAGGTGCCGTTTCCTGCCCTATGGACATAGTGGCTCCACCTTATTAGAGGTTGTGATTCTGTCCGTTGAGATGGAGGCAGATCTGCTTCTAGCCTCCTCAATTTCTGTTTCCTGATTCCTTGGGCTCACAGTGCCTTTGGCTTCTGAGTCTACATGGCCTTTGCCCTGCTCAGACCACAAGTATTAAAGAGTTCTTCAGGTCAACCAGTAAGTGCCTGGATATTCTCTACTCCACCAAGATGGCTCTGCATGAAAGCTCTCAGTTCTCTCACTCCATGAGCTGACTCCAGCACATTCTTACATAGGTTTCCTAATTCTTCCATCACCATTTCCTGCTATTGCTTCTCAGTTTTGCCAACTCCAGTATTTCAGCGTTCCCCACTTACTTCAGAAGCCTAACAAGAAATGTCCTGATATCTGTAACTTCAACTGTCTCTTCAAGTCAACCTGTTGTTGTTGGAGTCAAGTACAAATTAATCTGAACCTTGTCCTATCCTGTGCCGTCGTCATCACCTCTGACATACTTGAGTCCTTTGATGCAGTCACTGTGTCAATCCATCTCATTGAGGGTCTTCCTCTATTGTGTTGACCTTTTGAAGCAGTAATGTTCCTTTTCAAGGAATAGCCTTTTGTAGCAACATGTCCAAAGTGCATGAGATAAAGCTTCACCATCCTTGTGTCCATGGAGTACTCTGGCTGCATTTTTTCCAAGACATATCTAGTTGTTCTTTTGGCTTTTCATGGAATTTTTAATGCTCTTCCCCATCACCATAGATCAAAGGCATCAATTCTTCTCCTGTCATCCTTATTCACTGTCCAACTCTCTGATGCACAGCAAGTGACTGAAAAGTCCATGGCCTGCATCAGGCACACTTGTGTCTTCAAACTATTATCATCGCTCCTCAGCCCGTCAGTGGACTTGCCCAACGTCTCCTTCTCTTCTGACTGTTGGCACTAAGGGTGTTGAGTGTGGATTCATGTAAGATGAAATCGTTGACAATTTCAATCTTTTTTCCATCTATCATGATGTTGCCTATAGGCTAGTGGTGAGGATTTCTGTCTTTCTGATGTTGAGATACAATCCACGTTGAAGGTTCTGATTTTCTACAGCCAGCATTTCAAGCCCTCCTCACTTTCAGCAAGCAAGAATGTGTCATCTGGATAAGACGGGATGCTGATGAGTCTTCTTCTGTTCCTAGTACCACATTTTTCTCCATAGAGTCCAGCTGACAAAAAGATTTGTTTAGCATACAGACTGAATAGATATGAAGAAAGGATATAACCCTGACGTTACACCTCTCCTGATTTTAAACCATGCAGTGTTCCCTTCCTTGCTCTGTTCATAGAACAGCTTCTAGGTCTAGGTATATGTTTTGTATGAGCATTAATTAAGTGTTCTAGGGTTTACATTCCTCTCATTGTTAGCCATGGTTTGTTATGATTCACATAGTCAATCACCTTTGCATAGTCAATAAAACACAAATAGACACTCTTTCATTGAGGCTTTTTTTATTAGGTAACTTAAATCTATCCTAGTCTCTACTCATTACCCAATTTCAACACCACTTCCACACGTTATGTATCTGTTAGATCAGTGCCTCAGTCTCAGTATTTAATTCTCTCTTGGTTACATCATTACCTAACTGCCAAACCACTAAGAATCAAGACTCAGTCATGCTGATACATTTTTTGTGGAGACACAATTCAATCTATGACAGAGAAGCTATTGTACATATTTTCCAAGACTAAAAGAAGCCAAAACATAACACAATTATCTTTATTTATAACCTGAGACTTTGTAAGGTAAGATACTAATTTTTAAAAGTATGTACATTTCTGCCTGTTCAGCAAATCATGGTTACTTGCAAATGCAAAACTAATAAACTACACTAAATGGTTTCTCTATCAGAAGTGAAACTAAATTCAATTAAGGTAATTCCACCTTTCAGGTTATAAGAGACTTTCTAAAACTGAGAAAATCATGGGAAAAGGTTGAGTATGAACTAGGGTCCATCCAGTGAGACTCAGTACAGACTCTGAGAGGAACTTACCCTTTAGAGATAACTAATAACAATCAATACCTTTGGTATCAGCAGTTGGGAAATCAGGAGATGTATTTGCATTGGACAAATCTTCCATCATGGATCTCTCCAAAATGCTGAAGACCAATGATGTCAATTTAAATACAAAGGTGTACCTGATTCAGGCTATAGTCTTCTCTATCACCTGCTATGCATTCAAGAGTTGGACAATGAATAAGGATGGCAGAAGAATTGACGCCTTTGGGTTGTAGTGATGGAGAAGAGTGCTGGATATCCCATGGACTGTTCCCAAGAACAAACAGATTATGTCTTGGAAAAGGTGCAGCCAGAGTGTTCCGTGGAGGCAAAGATGGCAAAGCTATGTCTCTCATACTTTGCACATATAGTGAAACAAGGCTACTCCTTGGAAAGAAACATCATGCTTGGAAGGATGGTGGGTCAGCGAAGGAGAGTAAGACCACCACCACCTAGACAGACTGAAATGGTGACTTCAGCAATGGGCTTTACAGTATCAGAGGTGATGAGGATAGCACAGGATAAGGCAGGGTTCAGGTCGGTTGTTTATAGGGTTGCTATGAGTCGTGCTCAACTTGACATCACCTTACAACAACAACAACAACATGTCAAGAAGACTGGTAGGCCGGCAGCTCATAAACAGGAGCAGAGTCCTCCTGGTGGCTCCACAAATCTTTGACTAGATGAAAAACAATGTATTTGGTAGAGGTGGTAGTGGTGTATGCATGTGTGTGTGTGCGCGCGCATGTGTGTTTAAGAGTGGAATACGGAGATGTGACTACTATCACTTATTCATTGTCACAGAATTGGAAATGACTCATAGCAGACCTTCTAGGGACATTCTGTGGCTCTAAAGTTCCCATATTTCTCTTGAGTTACCACTTCAGGCTTATCTAAACAGAACAGAAAGTCATGTATATAAGACCAAGTATCCTTCAGTGTTCCCTATTGGCATGAGCCACATGGTCTTTCTGGTTAACCACCTCTTTCAAGATCCTCTGTGACTAAAGATGCCCAGATCTGAATGGGATGCTCTTTGGAGGCTGGTGGGGTTCTTCCTTGGGAGGGTCCAGAGAAGATGCCAGAATAAGTTGTGGCAGAAATTCTGGGCTGCTCTCTGGCTGCTGTACTAGCTCTGTTAAATTATATTGTTTTTAAATCAAAGTGACCTTAGATGTCCTGACAAGGACAGTGGGAATGATTCTAGTAACACATGATATTATATTAATACTGTTCTCTAGAAATTACTATAGTCTTTACGAACCATAGAGAATCTTTTGATTCTTTCCCTGTTCTTGGACAGGGGTGTGTGTGGAGGCTGCTGTGCACAGACAGGGGTGTGTTACAGCCCGAAAACCACGCTCTGCACTGACAAACATATCAGCTGACCTTTGGTCAGACCAATAAATGTGTCAAATCTACCTAACATGCATATATGTAAGTACAGACCACTTTGCTCTCTTCTAGAACAATCATCAAATGAATGACTTTTACTTTTCATTGTGTACTTTTAACATTTACACATTGATCTAGAGGGCAAGAGTAGAATTCTTTTTGGTATTCTAATTATTGAAGCTTCTTTTCTCTATTTTAAAAAATTACATAAGCATGGTATTTATAAGGTGTTTTTTGGTTGGTTTGTTTTTTTTTAAAAAAAAAGAACATCTTTGTGGCTCCTCTTAAAATTACTCCTCTATAAATAGTCAGGCTACCAGTGATCACACCTCACACTTCCAAGGGATCTGAAGATTACACTGGTCATACAAATAAGAACCTTACATTGACAAGATTCCAGAGAAAATTTACCTTTAGGGCTGTTGTACATAGGGTCGCTATGAGTCGCAAGTGATTCGACGGCACATAACAACAACATGTCTCCCTACTTATCAAAACCTGCTGCTCTAAACAGGTTTTAATCCGGACAGCTCACAGCCACTGTGCTCATGTCTGAGCAGAGCATTCTGCATATTCTATGTTGAAAATAAAGAATTTTTTTTTAAGCAGTTGTCATTGATTCAATTGAAAGTCATGCTGACTCCCTGTGTGACAGCATAGAACTGTGCTCCACAGGGGATTTTATGGCTGATTTCCTCCCCAGGGGGGGAAGAGATGCAAAGCTTTTCTTTTAAAGTCCTTCTTAGTGCACTCAAACCACCATTTCAGTTTACAGCCAAATGTCTTAAGTTTTAGTGCCACCAAAGACCTCCACGTATTTAAGGGGCGGAAGAACGTGGGTGAAAGCAAAACATGTTCTTATCTTAGTGTCAGAGGTACTTTAGGTGTCAGGATACATGATACACATGTATAAAGACATCCACGGAGGCTACAGGGCTGGTGTTTTTATTATAAAGGAAGTACGTGGGTGAGAGGTAGGGGTAAAGTGAACCATTTAAAGAAAAGCATTATCATTGCTGTTTTTGGTACAACTCCCCTTATTGCCTGTAGACACAGTATCCTGAGGTAAAATGAAGTGTCTGAATGTCAAGCTGAGTGCAGAGTCTGATACTTACAAACTTGAGGAGGAACGTGTTTTCTCGGAGTGCTCCAATGCACCCTGCGAATCCCAAAATGAACATCACTCCTCCTACCACAAGGAAGAGCCAAACTGGATCAAAGCCGCCAAGATCAGTGATGGAGGAGATGTTGGAGAGAACACCCTGGGAACAGAAAAGCACACACACAAGGCATCGGGATGAAGCATCAGTTTTCAAACATGTAAAGATTACTGCACTTGTCCTTTTCACCCTATCAAAGAAATACTCCACAGGTGAGCTGATTATCAGCGTGATTAATAATTGAAAAAAAACACATACAGACACAGTGAAAAACCTTCTTTCCAAGATTTGGATGTACTCATGCTTTTGATAAGACCATATGAAGCAAAATAACTGACCCCCAAAATACTATCATCAGATTTTATATGGTTGTAAGCCAGGGATGTCATCTTGGCTTATTATGTTCCCAAATATATGTTATCTTAAGTGAAAAAACAAATGTGTAAGAAAAATACACTTCCCAAGACCCAGGAAGGGTGTTTAAGTCCTCAGGAAATGCAAATATTGGGCAACTGCATGCTTCAAAGTGCTCATCATTTCTCAGGAAATTGGGCAGAGCTGGAAGCTGAGAGCTAACACAGCATGTAACTCAACCACAAGCACCTCACTCGCCCCAAAAGAAAACAAAACTCACAACCAACAGCTGCACTTGAGGAAACTTCCTTGAGCTACTAGGTCCAGGGCTCAAATGTCCCCACCCGCCGTTACAGTGCTCGAGTTTCCAGGTACAGTTTCTAGAATTTCCCCACCACCATTTTTTAAGAGCTGCAGCTTAAATCATGTACAAATCAAAAGTTTCTCTCTCATTTCCAACTCCTTTATTCTCCTGCCTCTAGCTGTGACAAAATGTACCCAGAGTAATTTCATTTCTTCAGTTCCCTTGTGTATTGAAGTTCTTTGCCTCATGAGTATTATTCATATCAAATAACCACGAGAACTTATACTAGAAATTATAACCTTTTTTTTTGCCCCTTATATTACAGGTACATAGTGCTATTCATTCACATTAAGGCCATTTTCATTCTGACACTGTGAAAGGATATGAATATCCAACACTACAAGCAACACAGGATATAGAAGTAATATCTTAAGACTATTAAATTTGTTCTGAACTTTTAAAATTTTCCTACAGTATCATGGGATAGTTAGTATAATGTCTTTTTTTTAATTTTAAATTTATTTTAATGAAAGTTTACAGAGACTTTGGATTCCCATTCATTCACTGATGCAGTTTTCTCCCTGTCCGCCCCACCCCCCCATTCACTTTTCTTTTTGAAAAGTAAAAAAAAAAAAAAACAAACACCACAAACAACAACAACAACAACAAACCCCAAATAACCAAAAATCTTTCATTGCTATTCAATCCCTTCCCCATAGTCTACTCCACTATGCTACCTTCGTTCTCGACTCCTGTCATAACAATAATATCTAATCATATATCCCTTTTAAACAGTTCTCTCCCTCATCTGTTTCAATGCAGTATACATTATCCCATCTTTCTCAGTCTTCCCCCGACCCCTATGTCAGTCCTCTTTTATAACAATGGCATTATGCTGTATTTGTCTGTTTGTGACTGAGATATTTCACTCAGCATAACGTCCTCCAGGGTCACCTATTTTGTGTAATACTTCATGACTTCCTTGTTTTTCAATGCTGCATAGTATTTCGTTGTGTGAATATACTAGAGCTTCTCTATCCATTCATTTGTTGATGGGCACTTGGGTTGTTTCTAACTCTTTGCTATTGTGAACAAAACCGAAATAAACATAGGTGTGCATGTATCTGTTTGGGTGGCAGTTATGGTTTCATTGGGGTATATACCAAGTAGTGCAATTGCTCGGTCATATAAGGTCTGAATAGTAACTATTTTGTTTCTAAAATGTTACCATAGGAGAACAAAGAGAATGGAAGTGGTAAACACAGGGATGAAGAGGGAAGATTACTGTCATTTGTGGGGTTTGCATTAATGTTACAAAATGAAAAATGCATGGATTGTTGAGCGCAAAACTAATTCAATCTGTAAACTTTGGCCAAATCATAATTTCTAAAAATGCCCGGAGTGGGTTTGTGACCCATGTTGTTGTTATGTACCACTGTGTTGGAACTGACTCATAGCTGACCCTTCAGCGGGTTTTCAGAAGCAGTTTAACTGTATGGGAGGGGATGGCCCATCTTTCTTCAGTGGAGCAGCTGGTGAGTTTGAACCATGTGCCTTTGGTTGGACTGCACAACTCCTTATCACAAAGCCATCAGAGCTCCCTTAGTGACTCAGGTTCTTGTGCTGTTATGTACTGTCGAGTCAGAACCAACTTATAGTGACCCTCCAGCAGGTTTTCAGCAGCAGTGCAATTAATTGCAAAGGAGGAGATTGTCCCTTTCTCCCACAAAGCAGCTGGTAGATTTGAACTATGTGCTTTCGGATTGGCAGCACAGCTCCTTGATTGATATGACTCTTATATCAATCAAAATAGTTGCTGTTGAGTCAACTCTGTTGAGTCAACAACTTCACATGCTATTGGAGTAGACCTCTGCTCCATGGAATGTTCAGGGGCTGACTGCTGGAACCAGATTCTCGGGACCTTCTAAAGAGGTGCCTCTGGGCCATGTGTGCTAACCATCTCCAACATCTAAGATTTGCAAAGGACACACACTACCTATGTTTTGGAAACAGAATAGGTTTACCACTTGAGTATTCTTTCCCTACCATATGGAGGCCATGGTGCAATTCTTCCCAGTCAGTACTAACAAAATCCTGAGTTAGAAGTTTTCCATTTCTCCGTTTAGGGTTGTAGGAATAGCTTGAGAAAATATCCCCCAACCCCACCCCGCTGGAAGCATCAACTTAAGAATGATTTCTAAAAAAGAAACAAAAAAAGTAACTGCCTGGCATCATCCCCAATTCATAGTAACTGTCTCCACAGAGCACTCAACCATTCATTTTAAGGATATAACCAGGCATTTCTTCAGAAGACCTCTGAGTGAACCCAAAGCCCCTAGTTTTTGGTTAGCAGTCAAGCATAATAACTATTTGTCTCTCCCAGGGACTCCTAAAAACAATCTCAAAAAGATTCAAATACCAAACCCACTGATAGTGAGTTAACTCACAGTAACCCCATGTATTACCAAGCAGAACTGCTGAATAGGGTTTTCTTGACTGTCACCTCTGGGGAAGTGATCGCCAAGTGTACCTTCCACAGAGTCACTGGGTGAGTTTGAAGTACCAAGCTTTAGGTTGACAGTCAAGCACAAACCATTTGTTACCAGTAAATCTAGTGAATGAGTCACTTACACACTGGTGTCAAGCTGATTCTGACTCAATGGTGACCCTATATTGGTTTTCTGAGGCTGTAAAATTTTAACCGAAGCAGAAGGCCTCATCTTTCTTCAGAGAAGTGATTTTGAACCACTGACCTTTTGTTAAGTAGCCCAACACAGAAATCATCATACCACTAGAGCTACATATGTTGTTGTTGTTTACCATCGAGTCAGAACCGACCCATAGCAGGTCCTCTGGTGGGTTTTCAGAGGCAGTTAACTGCATGGGAGGAGAATGCCTATCCTTCTCCTGTGGAGCAGCTGGTGGTGGCCTTGAACTACATGCTTTCAGGATTGCAGCGCAGCTTCTTGTCACTAGGCCACCAGAGCTCCATATAATTCAACCTAAATCCAAACCACTGCCTTTGAGCCCATGCCCACTCATGGTGATCCTCCACTGAGCTTTTGAGGCTGTACATCTCTATAGGAAGAGACTGTTTATATTTAAGACATGGAGAAATGGGTAGATTTGAACTACTGACCTCTTGGTTAGCAGCCCAATACTCAAGGCACTGTATCACCAGAAGCCCTAATAACCATAGTGCTATTATTAGAATACTAGTACTAGGAGGAGTCAGCAAAGGAGAGGACTCCCTTTAATGAAAATGATTGGCCCGGTAACTGCAACAATGGATTTAAGTGCAAAGAGATTGTGAGGAAGGCATAGGATCAGGCAGGGTTTTGTTCTATTGGATGGAGGGTTCTTTGAGTCAGAGCCAATTTGATGGCACCTAACAACAGAACACTTTAAGGAGAAGTTAAAGAACTAAGTCTTAAGGATATCCAACTTAAACATAAAAAGAAGGGGAAGAAGAAGGTCCGGGGTTTAAAGAGATTCACAGATGAAGGGCTGAGAGATTGTAAAGCAGTCAGGAATGTAGGGTATGTTCACTGACTTCTGAGGTGACATCATAGAAGGCAGCAGTAACCGTCACGAGATTGCATAAACCAGTAGTATGATCCAGTTTTGTATTTCCTAGGCTTTCAAACTCCAAACTAAGAATGTTAACATCCAGGGAGTAAAATTCATAAATAATACAGTCAATTCTCCATATACACAAATGATACTAAGAAAAAAAAAATTCCAAAGTATTCAGACAAAAAAAATCCAGGTCCAGTTGGAAAGAAATCAATCTCTTCTCTCAGAATGCCTTTATCCATGAGTATTACATATGTAAAGCCTTCATGGGTTGGTCCAGCTTGGTCAGGAAAAGAGAAGACTTTAGAATAATTTTCTTAAAATTGTAAAAGTTACTTTTACTACAGGAGAAAACGTAGAGTCCATTTATGTGGCACCAGAAATGAGAAGTAACAGAGCTGGAGGTGACAGGGGCAGATGTAATTTCTATGTGAAGAAGCATTTCTAGGACCACCAGGTTATTAGAATGGATCGGAGGGAGGCTGATCTGAGAAGCGCTTGAGAAGGCTGAGACAGAAGAGCCTCTCCTCAGAAATGCTGAGGCAGTGGTCACGTGTCAGCCATTTTCTAGAAGGGATTCCCATTTGTATGAGAAGCTGGGACCTGATGACCTTTAGACTCCCTCCAACTTTACGCTTTCATCTATTTTTAATGGGTTTTTCCTTTGTGATTCACATTCAAGGGTGAGTAAAGATCAGATCATTCCCAAACAGTCCTCCTTCATCCACAAATGCCCACTACTCGGTGGGTAAGAGAGACAATTATCTGAGTAACTTAGGCAAAGCAACCAACAAATTGCCCTTCCCCTCAGATGGCAAAAAAACGTGGCATCCCAACTGCTGGTAGATTCCTGGACCATTTTTCCTCT